TTTACTGAAGTCAAGATAGACCACATCCACTGCTCTACCATCATCCACCCACTGGGTGATGTCCTCATAAAAGGCTATCAGGTTTGTCAAGCATGACTTCCCCTTAGAGAAACCATGTTGACTGTCCCTAATGACCCTTTTATCCTTGATATGCCTAGAGACAGCACCAAGGATAAGTTGTTCCATTATCTTTCCAGGGATGGAGGAGAGGCTGACCAGTCTATAGTTACCTGGGTCTTCCTTCTTGTCCTTTTTGAAGACTGGAGTGACATTTGCTTTCCTCCAGTCCTCAGGCACCTCTCCCGTTCCCCATGATTTAACAAAGATGATGGTGAGTGACCTGGCAATGACATCCACCAGCTCCCTCAGCACCCGCGGGTGCATCCCATCAGGACCCGTGGATTTATGGATGGCCAGGTTGCTTAACTGGTCCCTAACCAAGTCCTCATCAACCAGGGTAGACTCCTCCTCTATCCTGACTTCCTCAGGAGCCTCAGGGTTCCGGGGCTCATCAGGGTAGCCTCCAGCAGTATAGACTGAGGCAAAGAAGGCATTCAGTAACTCTGCCTTCTTCTTATCCTCTGTCACCAGGGCACCCCTCTCATTCACCAGTGGGCCTACATTGCCTCTAGTGTTGGTTTTATCTGCAGTAAATGATCCCTGCAAGAGAAACCCCTAAGGGGAAGAATGAAATGTTTAGCGCTTTCTAGTGTTGGTTTTATCTGCAGTAAATGATCCATGCAAGAGAAACCCCTAAGGGGAAAAATGAAATGTTTAGCGCTTCGATGTTTGACCGTGGAGAAGCAGTGTATAGTTGTTCTTAATGCCTGTCATAGCACACGACTTTTTACTTTTAAAGTGTCATAATTTAACATGTGTACAACCAGGAGTGAAGATGCATGCTTTTAATGTCTTAAGAATTAGACTCTTCGCTAATAATTCAGCTGTTCTTTTTTTCTTAGCCTGAGAACACTTATGGAGCTTATTTTAAATTTCAACCATAGGTGGCCAAGGCAACTGAAAGTCTCTAATAATCATATTTTTATATGTGGAAACACCTTCTGGGGAAAAAAAAAAGTGGGAGAAGTCAAATATTTAAAAAACAGATCATTGTGCCATTGCAGCTAAGTTAGAATTTGTGTGGATCGAAATTTTTTTTTAATCGTACTACTACTTCTGAGTATATGGTGGTCCTAGGCTGTGTTAAGTGTTGTGACCATTTGGTTTAACTGTGCTTTAATTTAAAGATATTTTGTGTAGTCTCTGTTTCTTTGTAGAAAACTATATTTGTTTACTCTTTCTGTTTACTCCTATGTATAAGAGAAAGTGAAAATATTGTAGCAGGACGGCTGCTATTTTGGAACTATATTGCTGTAACTATAATCTTGAAAAATTCTGGGACTTAGTACCATTCAGTCCCAAACTTTTTTATACTTAGATGAGAGATTTTCAAGGAAAGCAGTCTTTGAAGTGCACAGGTGATACATTAGCCTTATATAACTTTTATCTGAAAAATATGTGCCGCAGTTTTGTTTATACTTCCCCCTCATTCATTTATCTTTTTATGAAATGCTAACTGTGAAATAAAATGCACCTTTTTCTTTTTATCCCTTCCCTGCTCATCAATATAGTTATGTATCATCGTAGTCTTACCATGTTTTGTTATATGGCTAGGAGGCTTATTTGTGGTTGTTGTGTAGTCACAGGTCTGCTTGTTGTGAATATGTGTTTCAGTGCAGTCTTTGTATTTGACAAATCATCATCACTTGGGCTGACATAAAAAAGATTGCGTGTGTTAATATGGATTTGGAGAGAAGAAGGTATTGTCAGTGATAGGTAACTACTGAGTATCATAGAATAGCCTCTTAGGATCGCCATTTTAAAGCATTTTTAGTTTTGAGAATCTGGAAATGCCTGCTTACGGGACCCACCCTCCATTTCATATACTTGCAATAAAAGCAACTCATTTGGTGTCTTAGACATGATACTCCATGAGGGTTTGTGTGTGGATTTTTTTAAAACGGGGAAAATGGTATGTCTCCTACTAGAGCTGCATCATTTTATAAAATGGTTTCTTAAGAAACCTGAGCAGTGTCCTTAAGAGGTATGTTATTGCATAGCTAGGAGGTTGCATACTTAACTAGGCTGATGTAACCAAGATGGGATTGACATCAAGTTTTTAACACAACTGTGTGAACCTAACCAGCTGAAAAGCACGTGATTTTGTGACATTTTGATGAAAATAACAACCTCAAAAAACAACCCCATGGCTTCTGGTGTTATTTTGAGCTGCGTGAAGGAAATATGCATAGCCTGAGTTGCCCAGTGACTGACGAGAGTTATAGCAGAATTTGGAGTAGTATAGTGTTGTTCATGAAGTTCATGTTGTTATTAAAAATATATACATAAGATAATTTTTTAGCTATGAAAAAATAATATGCGGTTTCTTCATTTAGGTTGTTACAGATCTTCAGTACTATATTAAATTAGAAATCCTTTGGACAATAGAGGAAACAACAGCAAAGAAAATTTGAAACCTGTTGATATGGCTTTCTCTTTGGCCCCTGGGAATATCTCCCAGTGAATGTTGTTCTTGTTGAGAGGTTATCTTGGACAGACATCTGTGAAAATTGCTTGCTATTGTATTGGAATTAATACTTAGCTCTTATCATTTGGAGTTTTTATCCTTTATTTTGGAGAAAATGAGAAAAGTTGGTACTTTTACATGCAGTTTCCTTCCCTTCCCCTTGGAATTTAGATTGAAATCTGTAGGTTTGTGGGTTTTGTTATCTCTTCTTTTCCATTACAAAGATAATCACTGTATTGTTGCAAGTGATGACGTGTATGTTTCTGAAATAATTTTTGGAGATATTTCTCAGCCACGTACTGTTTGTAGGGATTTAGTTTTAAATGTTTCCCATGATAGAGGCCCAAAGAGAGGGAGAGCATGAAACTCTGAAAACTGTAACCCACTCTTTTGCCTTAGAATAACATAAATGAGGTGCTACTTTATTATACAGAAAAAAAATTACCCAACTGAACTGGATAGTTATTTTGCAGCACGCAAAGTCCCCCTGCCCACCACGTATTATGGCTTTGGGAAACTGAAGCATAATTGTTCATTATCAATGCTTCTCAAAAACCAGTGGAGACTGCGTTGATGTCCATATATCGGACTTCAGGATTACATCCTTTGTTCCTTAGTTTAAGGAAGGCAGGTTCTGGATGAGGAAACTTTCTGTAACTTCCTTTTTTTTTTTTCTTTTTATTCTTTTTTCTCCACAGGTTGATCTGTATGTTTGCTTATTCTGTGGCAGAGGAAATAATGAGGACAAACTGCTACTGTGCGATGGATGTGATGACAGTTATCACACTTTTTGCTTGATTCCTCCTTTACCTGATGTACCCAAGGGTGACTGGAGGTGTCCCAAGTGCGTTGCTGAGGTACAGTTCAAGAACTACTCAAGCTTTGTATGTATACTTGTGTTCCTGGAAAGATCAGAAGGAGAATAGTTCAGCTCAATGCCATTCCATCTGGATAGAGGCCGTAGTTTTGTTTGGAATATTGTTAAGATGAGCTGTGAATCTCCAGCTGTTCTTGACTGATGAGCCATAAGGAGAGAGAAGTGTGCCTTCTAGAGCTTGGGCATAACCTTTGTTTGTTGTATAGCCACGTGACAGCTAAAACTCGATTTGATAAGCTGGTGGTGAGAAGTAGGGTTGAAATAAGTATTTTAGCGTAATGATGAGACATTTTGTAAACTATGAAGCAATCAAAGTATGCGCTTTGGGCATAACAGGGAACTTTGATTATTGGAAAGTTATTATGGCATTGTTCAGAATAGTTTGTAGCAGAAAGTGAAAGAACTAATTTAAAGAATAACTTTTAGATTTGATTTAGACTGAAAAAGGCACTGCTGAGGGTTCAGAAGTGGAAACTAGTTGAGTTTCATTGCTCAGAAAAGAGGAGCTACCAAGTTCCAAGAGTTGACTGATCAACAGCCTGAAGTCAGCAAACATCATTTGGTTGGCTTGGTATTTATCTTAAGAAAACAAATTTTGCAAGCTCAGGAAATTGGTAGGTGTAGGACTTGGAGCAAAAAGCTTACAGTTTCTAAATCTGTAATTTTGTGACTAGTTTTAACTTTTTAGACCCTGTTTTTTCCAGAAGAGGTAGTTGCACGCACACATATGTATATGCCCATTTCCTTCCACATCCCTGACACCCTTTCCTGCTGTGGGCTTCTGCTGTTTTCTTTATGGTGATGTATGAATAGTTGTGCAGCCACATAAGGAGGTGGATCAGCTCTAACCCTTCCCCAAGAGAGATTAGATTTTAAGATGAACTCGGGCAAATGCTGCTGTGAGAGAGGTAGAAATTCATAGTTACAGGCAAGGGAAAAGATGCAACTAACCCTTTGGGTTGCTGCTCACAGGATTAAGCTGCCCGTTTGTTGTTCCTTTGAGAGAGCAATAAAGTAGTATTACCAAATTACAGCAATCCAATGTGGAGGTAATTTAAAGAATATAGTAGTAAACATAGAGACTGAGTGGTTTAAGAATATGGAAACTCACAAGAAATTTCACTACTCGTACTGCTAGTAAAAACAGAGATATGTTGTTCCCAAGGGAAAAATACACATGTAGGGACAAAATCAGGAAAGTTAAGGTGCCAAACACGTTCCTACTAGCAAATGATGCAGAAAGTACTTGAAAAATTCTGGAAATACATTGAAAGTAAGAGGAGGAAGAAGAGAGAAAACATAGCTATATTATGTAATGGAGAGTAAACAAATAACAGCAGAAAGACATTTGAAATGCTCACTAGTGCTTTTTGCCTCAGTTTTTACTTTAAAAGTTAACTGTGCACAGGTGCTTAATGTGATGTTAACAGTAGGGTGCTGGAACAGAACCTGGGAAGAACAGGGCAAGGGCTGTTTATATGTATTCAGGTCAACGTTGTTTGACAGTGTTTACAGATGTTGTAGGTTCTCTGTTGCAGGCTCCTTTTAAGAACTACTTTGATAACTGTTTGGCATAGTCTGAGGATAGTTCCTCTTGAAGAAAAAGAAGCTACTGATCTCTTGAATGCCTTTCCAGTCCTGTTTCTTTACGACTGAACAGCTGACTATCAGATAGTTCTATGTCATGTTTGTGTTCAAATATGTCTTGTATATATAAACATTGTGTCAGATACAAAGAGGCTGAGAAGGACACTGTAGATAAGGGCAGAGAGAGCAGCTGAAATATGAACTAGTGTTTTTTGCACTCTTGGGATGAATGGGGATAGAACAGCGGAAGACTTGAAGATTTTTCTGTCAGATGGACCGTGTCTGTTGTTAGCTGTGCTGCATTGTTTTAATTTCCTTCTTCCTCTTTTCTCCTATATACTTTCACAGTTGATGATTTGCTGACTTGATAAGACTGAAGCTCTTACAGGGTTTGTTTCTGTGCAGTTATTCTGCAAGTGCTTGAACCCAGTGTGTCTGAGAAATGTCTTATGGCGGTCTAAGCTTCTTGTGCACTGTTTTACTCTGTGAGTGGCAGCAGTAGATGATGAAACTTAGGTTTGGACAGGAAAGCAGAAGTGTGTAGCATTGGGGTTTACCATGTTAGATTAGCTTCTGTATAATTAATTCTGTTCTGTTTCCGTTGTGGTAGGACTTCCTCAGCTGAGAAAAGCACTCAAAACTGATATCTTATTGTGTTTGATAAGGACTTGGATGGGCACTAGGTTTTTTTTGCTAAAAATGTAACTGTGTCATAATCTGCTGCAGGGAACAATATTTTTATGTTCTGTCTCCTAGGAATGCAACAAACCCCGTGAGGCCTTTGGATTTGAACAAGCTGTCAGGGAATATACTCTCCAGAGCTTTGGTGAAATGGCCGATAACTTCAAGTCTGATTATTTCAACATGCCGGTCCACGTGAGTTTCAACTTCTGTTGTGATTCCTTGTAAGGGAAAAAGAGAAGAGGTTTCAGCTGATCCTGGATTTCTGCTGAGGCATTTTAGCTTTGTTTAAAGAGTCACCATAAACTTCAAACATGTAAACAAATTATTTAGCTTTCTGTCATCTAGTCTCCTTTTAATTTTATTTCACCCTTTTCCTGTGATGGATAGATAGCTTTATTGCTTGTTAGGGTATGCCTTATTGGCCATACTCTAGTTAGGTTCTTGTCCTTTTTGATTAATTGAACCAAGTATCTTGTTCTTGTTTGGCAAAGGGGTCTTTCTCCTGCCCTTCCCATGGCTTTTGTCTTCGTTTAGTTTGTTCAGAGGATAAATAATTGTTTTCCTCCCAGTTAGTCTTTTCTTGTAGACAAGTCAATAGACTGAGTCTGTCTGATAATCAGGTGGGGTTTTTTGTTCTGCATCTCAGCAGCATTTTTAAAACTAGCATTTCTGCTTCGTTACACTTCCGTGATTCCACTGTCCTGTAGACTGCATGCAGCACCAAGCTGC